TAATATGACTGTCCACTGATTTGCAAAGGTCACCTCCTGTTCTAGAGCTTGATTGGAGAACACAGTCATCGATCTTCACACCAGCACCTTCTTCTTAAATGACTGACATTTGCATTTGCACATTTCAGGCCATATTTCAAATCATGGAGTAATTGAGGTTAGAAGCGACATCTGGAGAGTATCGGCTCCAAACAACAGCTCAAAGCAGGGCTAACTTCAAAGCTAGATTGTGTTTCTTCAGCAAATTGTCTCTTAGAGATTTCTGAAAAGGACTAGCTGCTCTTTTACACATTTCTTCAAATAGATTTATACTAATGACTAAGCGCAAATGATACTGGTTTCCCAGCTGTAAGTTGTGACAAATGATTCTCCCAGTTAATAAAGCTCTTCCGTTGACCTTAGCATCTAACTTAAGTGACGGGGGCAGGAATGAAGGCAATATGGGATAGAGGATTTGCGACGGACACACGTTCCCTGTCAAGTTCCATGAGTTTCTTCAAATGTTTCCACTACCAACAAACACCACAAACTCGCTCACGAGAAGGTCTAACAGAGCGCAGCAGTTCAGACGTGCTAAGAGAAAGACACCACCGCAGGGATCTGCTGGAGATGCCACAGACATCAGACTGAGACTTCGCAGCCTGCCACTAAACACTGCACTACATCATGTTAAGCCCACCGATATTACGATGCACAAAACTTTTACCCCTTATTATTATTTTTTTTTAAGCCTGAACAATTGCAGGGGAAAACAACTCCCTGCACTGAAAGCAATATTTTTATGGTTACAGCATCAAGGACTCCAGAGTTAGGAAATGCCCATTTATGCTGTCTGTACAAGCTTTGTTTGGGTCTCGGTGCTGACACGTTATGATCCAGTCTATTGGTTACATGACAATCGCCCACTTTTAGTCTGGCCCCGCGGAAAAGCTCCCATCACACTAACCGCAGCTTCCGACCCACCACAAGATGCAAATCCGCATGGAAAGCCCCAAGTTCATTTAGGCCTAGGGCAACCTTATTTCCAGAAAACCGTAGCTCCAAGGCAAACCAAGTTTCCCCTAGACCACTGAAGATAGCTCTTTCTCCTATAACTCCTAGTCTATCTGCTGCAGAAGCTGAAAGAAACAGGAGACTTTACAAAAAGCAAACATGGCCAAGGCACGTGAATATTGCCACTGGAGTTCGCAGCTCTCCTTGCCTCAATCTCAGCTTCCAGCAGGATGCTAGGAAGGCTGCTTAAAAGACAACTTTTTTGTATACCCTCATTGATTGTTTTCCTTCACTCTACTAGCACTTGGCTTGAGACTCTGGAGCCTGATTAGCAGAAAGGTTAGGCACTCACAGCTGCAATCGAGGTGAAAGCCATGGGGTTTTGAACAAGAATTCTATGCTACAGAACCACAGAATAATTACGGTTAGAAGGGAAGGGACCTTTGGAGATCATCTAGTTCAACCACCCTGCGCAAGCACGGTGATGTTACATTGAACACTCTTAAAAAAAATCAAGTGTGATGAATTTCATACTTGGAATGCAAAAGCCAGCAGGTTTTCCGGGGATTTCTCCAGCCTGCCTGCCACTGCCCAGAGAAGGGGACCTGGGTCCCTCTTCCACACCACGAAGATGATGTGAGGTGAACTCACTGTTTACCTGGTACTTGCATACCGGTGTGATGAGCACCATAAGAACTGGTGAGGACGTGACTAATTCTGGAGTCAGAGCAGGCTTTGAACAGTAGGCAATAAAGAGACTCTGGGCTGCTCATGGAACAGAAGGTTAAAGCAGGATACCGAATAGCTGAGCTCGTTCTGTTACACACACGGCATGAAGATACCACAGAGAAACAATGGATGCATCTACATGAACTGTTTGAGCTCCTGTCGTCTCTAGATGAGGAATCGCTTGATGGTCTGTCCCCACTTACCACTCTTTGATTTACGTAGCCGAGTCTTGAGTGCATGAACTAACAAAACTGAACTAGATGTGCTCCAGGGGGGCACCTAATGCACTTCAACCAATTTAGCTGATTCATCTAATCAAATGAAATACAATGCACAAGTGAATCAAATTAAGCCACCAACTTCTAAGATCGGAACACTCAGTTTTGCAATTTCACAGTTTTTAATAGTTCTTTTTGTGTACAATATCTGAGCAAAGATGAATTGTTTTCTCACATCACTGTTCTGAGTAAGAAACAGATGATGCCTCGGCCACTGAAGTGGATGTGTCAGTATTTTGCACATCCGCCTCTGTGTTTTAGTTCTGTGGTGGAGTAAATTTAACCCAGATGGACTTGACGCATTACGAATATCCCCTCAGTAGAAATGCAACATTCCTCTCTGACATTTTGGATCGCGAGTCGGACTTTGTAGGAAAGAGGCAATTACGCCGCTGCCCCACGAGCAGCCCTCCTGCCTCTCGCTCCAGCGACCAGCTCCGCTGCTTTTATACCAGAGCCGTGTTCGGTCGCTTCAAAAACCACTGCTCACGCAACAGAACTGGACAAGTCTTTCTCCCCTTTTATTTTAAACAGATTTGGTTTGTGGCAGGAGTTGTGATGACTGCACTAAACATAGTCTATGGTCCCAGAGGGAGTGCTTTTTTTTAAAAACCTTCAGAATATATTGTTTGGCTTGCAGAAAGCATTCTTTTCTTTTAGTTGGAAGTAGGAAGACCCGTATATGTGGTTTGTGCAGTTTGCATTTTTGCACCCTGCATGGGACAGAGTCAGATTTTTTTTTTTTTTACAATAAAATATGAAGTTTTGAAATTGTTTTAGTAAATTACTATGACTGTTTATATATAACAAGCAACATATGTTGAGGGTGTCTATTATCTCTCAGAAAGTTACCTCATTTGAGAGTCAATTAGGTTCACATAAGAACCCAACTGAAAAAAGAAACCCAAATCTCTGAACCGGACACATCTACACAAAATATTTAAAGTTGCAAGCAAATGCCTGTGCTTCATAAACACAGTTATGTAACACAGTATTCAGCTAGCGAGTCTCCTAAGTGCTTGCTCTGTATCTCGCGACGAGGAGGACTCCAGGAATCATTAACCTCCTGAAGATGACAACGAGACATCCCGGGCGACCGCCTGCCACAAGGCATAATTAAGGCCCTATTCTACAGCTGGGGTGAAATAACAATTTCTAGAGCTGCTGACGTTGCCGTTTACATTCTTTTCACACAGACTGCCACATTAATGGCCATTGTCATGTGAGCCAAGGCGTTGGATTGTCTTTTCTCCCTCCTTTGGTCTAAGTAACCCTGGAATATGAAGACAAACAAAAATAACAACAAAATGAACAAGGACTCCGTATTTCAGAAATTCTGATTAAACCTGAGCTATGTTTTGCATTTAATTCCTTTAAACTCAGAAGCTTTTGTCTCCCTAGGAGGCCTCAAGGGTTTCCTTTCCGCTAGAGAACAGACACGTGCCAGCCGAACTCGCGGGGCTCCCTCCCGCTGCCCTTTGCCAGGGTGAGGGCTCCCCCAGGAGCAGCCCCGCGCGCTCCCCGGTCGCACTGGCCCTGTCCAGCGAGGCCCGGGAGGCGGCAGCTCCCCTGCCCAGGCAGCAGGACCGGGACGCTCGGCCCGCCACCCCCCCGCGCTTTGTACCTTGTAAGACTCCAGCGATAATTGCAATTCAACAGGACACAGAAGGGTGAGGTTGCATTTCACTGCCTTGGGTACAGAGGTAGCAAACAAATTAAACTAATGAAGCAGTACATGGGACATGCATTGAAATTTCCTGACTGCTAGCTCCTAAAGCACACAAATGCATCTGCACCTTGCTAATAACCAGGCAAGACAGCTACTGCACAGGGAGAACAGCTGAAATCCAGTGTCATCCTCTCCTGCACATAAAAAAGGTCTGAACGCCGTCTACCAATCTGAAACTCCTCAAGCTAGTAAAAGATCTTTGCAACTGATTTTCAGAAATATTTTACTTAATATGTTCCTTGTTTCCTGACACAATAAACAAACTGGTTAGTTAACTGGGGAATTCTCTGTATCACTGTGGTGATAGCATCATGTCAGCTTCCAAAACCCTCAAGATGGCCAGCAGCTGATTAGAATGCAATATTGCCCAAAATGCTACATAAAATAACTGAACGTGGGACTGATTGTAACCCAAAATTTGAAGAGGAGCTGGAACAAGACTCCTTAAGGGGAGAAACAGTAGGTGATGAAGTATGCACATTGTTACTAACATGGTAAAATACCTAGGCACCATTTGCGGTTAAGCTTTGAGTGGCTCAAAGCTGTTCTATTAGTAACACTAAGAAATGTTTAACTACCTTCACTCCTAATATACTCAAGATCACAGCTGCAGTTAGCTCTAAAAGGATTTATTTGCTACCCTGAAAGTAGAATTGTAGAAAAATAAGATTTTCATCAAGGCAGGCAGCTGTTTTGATCATGAAAATGTATACTTGAGTTGATGAACTCGCTGGCCTACTATTTTCAGGCATACAATGAAGTACTCGATAGCCAGTACTTTCTAAAGCTTTTTAAGCCTAATTGAATAGCATCCTTCCTAAAGATGCACACTCCATCCACTTCTTCATCAGAAAATTTCTATTGTGCTTCCATGTAAAATACAGTAAAGCCTGAAATACTTGAAGCAAAATATACACATTTCATTCAAATGCTGACTTATTCTTTGGCACAAAGTTCCTCAAAACATGGCTGCCAGGATAAACACTGGAGTTCCTACTGTGACCACTCTATTCAATGGATTACAAGAAAACAGAGATTAAGATATCTTTTTAATCTTATTAAAAATGTTGCCCCATATATTATTTCTTTCTAAGCGTTGTATGGAAAATGTTGTTCATCTTACCCCATCCTCCATTAAGAGTTGCTTAAACACAGGAATGAGCTTTGTCATCTTGTTCCTTTCCAGCTATTTCTAAAATCCCAACGTAACTGGCCTTGCCAGGCTGAACCTCAAGGCTGCGGGTGCCTGCTGGCCCGCTCGGCTCCTTTACCTGGCCTGACCGCTGCCATCACGGCGCGCGACGACCTCAGCACTGCCTCGTAGATCGCCCGCTGCTCCGGCGTGAACTTCCCGTTCGCCGGGAAGGTGCAGGTGATGTCGGAACCGTAGCAGTAGTACTCGCCTCCCATATCGAACAGGCTACAGGGAAAACAAAGGGGTGGGGAAGGAAAGCGTCATTCCAAAAAAATAGTTGAACAGGTATTCTTCTTGTTCTGAGCTTAAAAAGAGGCTGTATGTTGGTAGCAGGGAGCTGTACTTGCGTTACACACGGACACCCTTACTGGCAGCACAAGCCTGGGTGGAAACACTGAAGGAAGATAAAAAACACATGGAGAATCCGTGAACCCAGTTTGAGCTTTTGAGCTCTGGTTTCTAGGAGGAACATCTTGGTTTTTCAGAAGCAGCAACACGTCATTTTATTCTCTCCTGAGAAGTGTTAGCACCACATGGATGGTCTAGCCTCAACTTAACAGAGAAACGTTAATTAATTTATGACCTTTTGTGTTTAAGTGTCATCAATGCATCTGATGGTTTAAATAAAATGTGTCCAATAAAGGCTGAGTGCCACTGCTCTGGACATAAACTTTCCTTTAAGAGAAACTTGTCTAACAAGGCTTAAAAAATATGGAAAGATCCAGTCAGTAAAGAACATTTAGTACAGTTTTCTGTATCAAGGGTGGAAAAAATTACTACGTGCTTTCTTTTATGGGTAAAAGAATTTGCTTTACTTTTTGAGAAGCAAACTTATTCTATGCATGAATAAATGATTTACCACCGACCACTCAATCGCCAGAAACCAATCTATGAGAATAGCAAGTGGTTCCTTATGCCCTTGGGAGAACCCGCTTGGACATCTGCAATATCATGCTTCTTGAGCCTACCTGATAAGGCACTGGTTTCAGCAGGCTCAAAAATCAGCAAATAACCAAATAACCATTTGGACCAAACAATACCTAAGCAAATAACCCTTCGGTTCATCATATATTGATTACCAGAAGGCACATTTTACATATAGGACTTTGTTTGGTCTTGACTGATAGTATTTGAGTGACCTCCTGATTTCCCAAGAAATGAATCATAGTCCAAATTTTCTAGCTTAGCTCTTGTTAAAACTACCTCAGACAACTGTAAATAACACTCATCTTCATGAGAAATGTAATTTTCCTTAGCTGCTTTTGAGAACGTTGGAGTTTCTTTCCTGTTGCTTGTGCTCCATAGCAGGCGAGTCAGAAGGGAAGGCGGGAGGAAGGCCACCCCTTGGGCCACGTCCTGACCGCAGCCGTGCTCGGACGGCGCAGCTCTGTCCCCAGCCAGGGCACACGGCCAGCAAAGGCAGCAATACGCTACCATCGAGGAGTGCTATAGCATTTAGCTTTAAATATTCACCACATCTAACTTAACTGCCTCTGAATGCAATAGGTTAGAAGCAAATTAAGGCAACCGTGATGAAGCTAAATAACGTTCCTGCTGCCCTGAACACACAGATATATGCTCATGTGAGGATATACTCCAGGAAATTTTACAATGCACCCTGCAATTTGCTCTGTGAACAAATCTCCGCACTCGGCGCAGGGCCTGCTCCAGCCATCGCCAGCCCCTGAAGCTGGGCAAGGGTCACCCACAGACAGACCTGCGGGGCTGGAACTTCAGGAATAAACCCTTGGTTTTACAGACACGGACCTGCACGAGGCGTAAAGCGGCAGGAACAGACTGCTCAGGGGGATGACTTAGGAGATGATCGACTACTTATATCTGCACAGAGAGGTAATACAAACAAATACTACATACATTCACTTAACATTTAAGTGCAGTATTTTAAAACAGAAAGTTGCTAACTGAAAACAGATACACAATAGATGGCAAATTTCAAAGCCACAGGGTGAAAAAACAAGATTTCAGATCAATATAGCAACTGCAAATAAGCCTAGCCAAACCTCAAAATCAGAAATGCCATCGACACTGCCTAAAGTTATGGTTTTATGGTTAGGCTCATTTCTAAAAATTAAGTACAGAAATAAACAGCAAGCATAAGGATACAGAAAACTGGCTGCAACAGCTAAGTATGATGTAAGAAGCTACTATGCTCTCTAACATGCTAACAATATTTATACTTTAATAATAATAATAATAATAAAATCTTTCAACCTGTCTGCAAACGGAATAATTTCAAAATCATCAATTAAGTTTCAAGGTTTTTTTGTGGGTTTATATAAGTTATTGTGGCCTAACTTTGCTCCATTTACAAGTATCAGTAATAATTTAGCATGGTCAGAGTTCGGCTGTGACCAACAGCTCCTAAATGCCACGTCCAGGTCTGCTGGATCTTGTTATGCATTCTGTGTTCTACCTGCAGAACAGTCATCCCAAATTCACAGCAGGCCAAGCTGTAGGGATTTCTTTAGCCTTAAAATGATCATTTTCTGAAAACCATTCACAGTTTTGTGGTTATAAATAGTTGTTAGAATGACTACAGCAAGGAATAATGGGGAAGAATCCCACAAAGCAGATGGTGCACTGGAACAAGACTCCTAGGCCAGGCAGCACCATTTGTTCAGGTTTTGGCTTTCAGACAAGAGGAGACATGGGGAAAGATGATCCTTCAAATTCTAGATCAGAACAACAACTCACCATCCAGTCTGCACGCTCAGTGAAAAAGCATCCAAAACAAACTGTACGTTTGGGAGATATTTTGGCTCTTACTGGGAATTTTCTTCCATGTAACTTCAGTTGGGAACATATCCATTAGCTAAAATGTTTCCCAAGACATGGAAATAGCCCAAATATTGTAGCTATCCTGAGGAAATAAAGGAAGCCTGAGAAGATTTGAGTTTCAAATTGTTGCTTGCCAGGCAAAATAAGTGATCAAGCACATTTAATTCCAACAAAATACATGTGAGCTACTATTTTCTCATTTTGACTAACAGCAAAATCTTTGTGAAGATGGGCTCCTTGTATCCTGTTTTCTTATATAAAACACATTTATTTTACACTGAAATTAGGTGGCAACTCCTAGGTAACAAGAAAATACATTTATGATTTTATTTTCTATTGTGTGCACAAAATTACCTATCTGATAATACATTCTTACAGAGATCATGCACAGAAACAGCTACCTAATCTTACTTGGATTTTATCAAATGTAGCAGCAATATAAACAAATTAAATGCACAAATACAAACAGGCACAGTGTTATAGGATATCTTCATCTACAGCCAGTGTATTAAGGATTGTCTTATCTATAGTAATGTATGCAATAATGTAACAACGTATCTCCAAACACGATTAACTTATCTAAAAGGGAAACAGGTTGCATGTCTACTGAACTGCACATGTCGTCTGTTGCAAAACTTAATTGTAAGTTTTTCTGTAGAATGAGGACACATCTGATTCCAGAGCGGCGCTCCTCCCGCCCCCACCTCCTTCTTGGAGGTGCAGTTGTTGAGTGCTGAACTGAACGGATGCAGGGACGATGTGCTGAGGTTGTCAGGTTGCAGAGCAGTCTGGAGGGGAACTCGCCCACGAAGGGAGCACCCCTGATCAGAGAGGCACGTGGTTGTATGTCAAAGCACCCACTGATCTAGCGTCAATCTGACGAAACCTTCTATTGCAAAGCTCCTGCGCAACCTTTGGAGAGAAGAGCTAATCTTGCTTTGTATTACTTTGCCAGGAGTAAAACCAACGAAAACCCACCTGGCCACGTTTCCAGGGTGAAAAGTGCATGGTATATAAGCACATGGAATAATCAGAAGATCCAGGCCCTCTCTGAAGATTCCCTGATACTGTTTCCCCACCCCCTCTTTTTTTTTTCTTGGAATAATATGAAGTTATACCATATGTAAAAGATGCACAGCAAAAAATATTCCAAACATCTATTTGGAAGTATGGACATAAATCCCCTGAGGGAGGCTTTAGTTCTGTATAGATATGATTTATAATCTTTCATCCTATACATGTTGCAAAATACCGTAAACATTATTAACTGAAGTTGAACAACACTAAGTATGAGAAAAATCAGATAACCTTTCAGTTGCTCTACGGACAGAATGTCAGTAGAATTGTGTATCAGCAATATAATATTAGCCAACATGGTCAAACAAAATTTGCCTTCTCCATCTGCTTTAAAAGTAACCTTCAAAAATCCCATTTCACTGCTTTCACGGGCTAAAGTCCTGACATCACAACTTAGAATTATTTTGCACATAAAACAGTGCAAAGTCCAAATGAAGCAGAACTACACATCTCCTGCCTTGCAACTCCATAAGCATTAAATACAGAAAGAAATGACTAAACGTTTCTCTCTCTTGCAGGAGTCTTTCCAGCCCTTCCCTGGGGGCCCCAGGTATCACTGGTAACTGCTCCTATGGGACTGGGGTTCTGGGGCAGCAGAACGGGCAGGTTTCCGAGGGCGCTTAAGCGCTGCTCATTTTAAAGCAAACGCAAGGCTTCCCAGTCACTGTTGTAACTGAAAACGTTACACGATACTGTGAGCAAAAGTGCTCTTCATGCCCCCCTTGCAGTCACGCTCAAGCAATAGAGATGCACTAAGAGGTGCCCTTGCCACCTTTACAAGACACTGGCACCACAGAATGCATTTAAAGTTACTTTTAGGCTTTAAAGCCCAGAAAAATAATATGCGGTTTGATATTGATTTTAGTTTTCTCAACCTCTGATTGTGAAGCCCCACAAAACATTCTGGTATCACTTTAAGTTTCCAAACTGGGGACTATCAATGGCCAAGATTCATTTCTTCATAAAGTCACGGTATACAATTTTTTAAAAAATTAAAGCATCATCTTCCTGTAAACATGTTTTAACTTTTATAGGTTTGCTGACATTTTTATTGTAAAATAATTTGAAACTGCCAGGCATTGAAGCAAATTATGGCCAATATCACAATGGGAAGCGATACTTTATTTGGGGTATCTGAGCCATGTGTACAAATCGTTAGCGATCCAATGCGCAGCCCAACCCAGAGACAAGCTCTCACAGGCATCCTCGGAGAGCCCACGGCTACTCCCCAAAGCCAGCACATAAAACTGTCACCTTGCTGCTCCACAGATCTGCTTTGTGTGGGTATTCAGAATTGGATCACATCATGATAGCTATAAAAACAGTTTTTCTTCTTTGCTATTGTTAAT